TAGTAAATTGCCCTTTCTTCACCAAATTGGTCTTCCTGTACTACCATTCCAGCTATTGATTCTTTTTCAGCTGATACATACACTTTCATTGGCCGTCCTTGGATTGGTGACACCAACACTGGTGGACTTGATAGATATGTCTTCAAACTTTCAAAAGCCTTTTAATGTTCTTTTTTCCAGAGGAATTCGTCCTGATTTTTCAGCTTTAAGAGCGACGAAAAGACTTTAGTTCGCCCTGCACAGTTAGAAATAAAGCGTCTTAAAAAGTTTACTTGGCCTAAAAACCTTTGCAACTCTTTTTTGTTGTTAGGTGGTTTGACCTCTAAAATAGCTTTCGCTTTATTTTTATCAAGTTCAATCCCTCTCTTGTGTACTAAGAAATCAAGAAAATTGCCTGCATTAACACCAAATGCACACTTCAAGGGATTCAACTTTAACTTATATTGCTTCATTCGTCCAAACGAACATCTTAACTGTTAGAAATGGTCAATTCTTTAATGGACTTGACTATTACGTCATCTACATACACTTCAACAAACTTGCCTATCATATCATGAAAGATTAAATTCATTGCCCTTTGATAAGTTACCCCTGTATTTTTTAGGCCGAAAGGCATAACCACCCATTCAAAACATCCTAGAGACACAGGGCATCTAAAGGCAGTTTTGTGTATGTCTTCTTCAGCTATATAAATTTGATTGTATCCTGAATACCCATCCATGAAAGAATACATGACATGTCCGGCAGTTGAATCTACTAAAGAATCCACCGTGGACATTGGATACTCATCTTTGGGTGTAGCTATGTTTAAATTTCTAAAGTCTATACACACCCTTAGTTTACCATTCTTTTTTAGTACTGGCACAACATTGGACAACCATTCGACATATCTGGCTGTTCTAATAAAACCTGCTTTCAATAATCGCTCTATCTCTTTCTTGATTTCAGGGAGTACATTGGGAGCAAAACGTCTAGGAGGCTGCCTATGAGGTTTAAAGTTAGGCTTAGTTGGTAACCTATGTTCCACTAAGTCTCTATCTAAACCAGGCATTTGTTCATATTCACAAGCAAAACAATCTTTATACTCTTTTAGCAAAGCGATTAATTTGTTACTAACCTCTTGGTCGAGCATTTGGCTGATGAACGTTGGGCGATCTTCTCCTTCATTGCCAATATTTACTTTGATCAGAGGGTCTTGTACTTGAGCGTATCCAGGTTGGCGATCCGCATTACTTCGTCGTCCAGTTCCCTTGTAAGTACTTCCTCTTCTAAACAATCCACCTTGTTGACTTCTCGGCCAATGCTTTACTCTAACTCGAATACCACCAACTTATCCTTCAGCGCTTTTAGGGCTTCTCTTCTTTCGCCTTGTCATTGCATTCCTTATTGAAAGCCATCAGTTTGGCTTTGAAGGCCTGAATGTCGGCCATTTGCTTTCGTAACTTAGAATCCATTCAAGACTCCTTGATTATTCTTTTGCCAATTACTGGCTCTTCCAGGGCCACTATATTTGGCCTCATTTGTTTGAACATTTCAGTGAGTGCGTCCACTGAGAATGGTTCTTCGCTTTGCACGACAACCTGAGTTTCTTCCCCGTCTTGTACTACCCTGACAGGTCCATAGTTTCCTTCGTACATGAACTTTTCCACCGAGTTTGCTTCTGCGACAAAGGCCTATGATCGGCATGTACCACCTCTGCTTCGCCTTTGTTATTCCAAAAGATCAGGCATTGATGGAGCGATGAGGGTATACAGCGACTGCCGTGTATCCAATCTCTTCCTAGTAGCACATTGTAACTAGTAGGACCATCTATTACAAAGAAGACAGTGGTCCTAGTAGTCGTTCCTATAGTTATGTCCAATGGCATAACTCCCTTAGTTGAAGTTGCTCCTCCATTGAAGCTCGTGAGGATGACTTCTGTAGGAATCATGTCACCCTCTATTTTTGCAAACTTCCTCATCATCTTAGGTGGAATGGTGTTTATAGCTGATCCATTGTCGACAAGCACTTTTATCACTGGGATGCCGTTAACTAGAGTTTTAACGTACAACGGCCTCAAGTGTTTAGTCAATTTCATGGCTGACCGTTTAAAAATAACCTTTTCGGTAGCCTCTATTTCTACTTCCTGCTTGTTTTCTGTCGAATTATCCCCCTGTGATAAGTCGACGTGCAGTATATTACGCTAATCCTCTGTCTCCTGAACTTCCTTCCTACTTCTTTCTAATGCTTCCTCATCAGTTACCCAACATGTTGGAGGGGGCATTATTCTTGGAGGTGACCCATACTTTTCAGAGCGAGGCACTCTCTTCTTCCTTTTGGGTGTCCCGTACAGTACGTAGAAATCGAAAGAGCGCCCAGATGGTTCCCCCAACAAGTCTACTTCGCGAACTCCCTCTCGATGTAGTTGCTTTAACAAAGTATTGTGCGATACTCCTCTCTTTCTTCTTTCTGCTTCTAGGTCGATTTCTTCTTCAATGTCTGTCATCCCGTCGTCCTCTTCATCGTTGTAGGCCTCTCTAGAAGTCTGTCCTTCTTCACATACCAGCACGCAAGCTTCTCCTTCGTTGTCCTCCCTCTCTTCTTCTTTTTCTTTATTCTTGAATTCATTTGCCAGTAAGTAATTATTGGCCACGACAGGAGGTAAGGTACCAAACTGGATGGTAAGGGGCTGATCTTGATCTTCTCCATCCCTTCTGTCTCGCTCGAACTTTGATATCCTAGAAGAAGTTTCTGGCAATTCCTTTATTAATTCATATGTACCGGTCTCTTCACTGTTTTTGAGGACATTTTGATTGGCTACCTTGAGTAGTTTAGGAGCTTTAGGATATGGCACTCCCTGTTGCTGCCTCATCATCCGTCCATAATTTCGTTGGAAACGCCTTTGTTGGGTTCTAGTCATCTCGTCGAAGGGTATTGCCCTTCCTGCATTATATTGGAATGAATGCCATACATTTGGTCGGCGAGGTTGCGGCCTGAATGTTCTTCCATTATCTGTTGGCCTGAACTGCCTCTCAAAAGGCGGTCCTATAAAGAATGATGTACCTCGCCCTCTACCAGGCTGAGTGTTTGGGAAGAAAGTAGGGCAATGGGGATGCTGCCATGTCCCTGG